GATTATATAATAGGGTTTGTGTCAAGTTTTCCTTCTCTTTGCAGTGATGGCGTGGCTTCGATCCCCACATGTGACAACACTTTGTGTCATCCACAAATAGTTTATCCGAGTCTGGGTGTTCTTTGTGTCCGTTTCATGTATGTTTGTAAAGTCCCCGCGACACAGGATATATTCCTAATACGGCAGTTGTGTTAAAAACAATTATATTGAAATGTTTAATGTCAGCTATCTAGGTGAATTATCTACGTCCCATCAATTTAAATAATTACTAGTAATTTTCACATTAAACACCACGTTTCTTAAACGACAATATTATATACACGTGGAGTGTTATAATTTACCGTAAATAGTTTAATAAGAAACATCTATACGGATACTAATATTTTAAAACGAAAGAGGTTGTTTGTTTAAAAGCGCTAAACTCGAAAACTACTGGTTCGAATTGAGAAATTCTTTTATTATAATATTATCTGATATAAGGAGTAACTTAAGCCTTTCCGAAAATCCTTTTTAATTTTGCACGGTCCAGGAATCGAACCCGAGGCCTAATGGACTGCAGTCGCGTACCGTACACGTACAGTACACCACTAAGGCAATGCTTTTCAAATTCGGAAGTTGCGGGTGCCAGCTAGTATGAAAAAGAAGTTTTTTTTAATCTGTTTTTTATAAGTCAAATTGCAATGATTCCTTTTGTTTCAGATAGATACCTAAGTGTCCAATCCCCCCTACCTCTGATTCTGGGGGGAAGACTTTAAGACTTTGAGTTGCAGGTGTCCTAGAGTGGCGAATACCCCCTATACCATAAAAAAGAGCATTTAACCAGCCTGTTGCATAACTCTCCCTCGCACTCCTGGATTCAGGACTTGGACGAGTTTCAAACACACTTAAATATCTTCTATACATCAATCATCATGAACAGCTCCTAACAGTCCACAGCTGGACATAGGCCTCTCCTTATAATGGAAGTTTTGGCCTACTATCTTCTATACAAATAAATAAAATAAAAATAGAAAAATAGGTTTTTTTTCACGCTCTCACGGTTAATAGCACGACACATATGCCCATAAGCCAACTTGAAAAAAAAAATCTGTCTGTTTGCCCGTCTGTCTGTTTATTCTGGGTAATCTTCAAAATGGCTGGTCTTATTTTGATAAGTAGTAAGATAACTACCAGGTAGCTGTCAGGAGTAACTTAGGCATCCGAGGGGATTTCCGCACGAAAACAAAAAAGAAAAAAAAAAAAAGGAGTAACTTAGGCAATTTTTTCTCTCACAAAAACCCTGTAAAATAACGCCCGGACCCGGGCATTGAACCAACCAAGGCAGCCACTTTTCAAATTCCACGTAATTAATAAATGGTGATTCAGGTGATAAATTCTTCGAGTAAAACACATCACTGTGGGAGTTTCCATACAACAAGAAAAAAAACCGCAATAAAATAATAAACGTATATATATTTTATTCCAAGAATGGTTAAATGGCCTTTAACCAGAATAGACTACAAATGCTGTCTGACAATTTATTATCTATACTAATATTATAAAGCTGAAGAGTTTGTTTGTTTGTTTGTTTGAACGCGCTAATCTCAGGAACAACTGGTCCGATTTGAAAAATTCTTTCAGTATTAGATAGCCCATTTTTCGAGGAAGGCTATAGGCTATATATCATCACGCTAAGACCAATAGGAGCGGAGCACCATGAAGAATGTTTCAAAAACGGAGAAAATTTATTACTATTGAGAGACGCAGACGAAGTTGCGCGGGTCAGCTAGTAATAGATAGAATAACAAGATAATAATATGTCGGTCTTGAGATATGGCCTTATTTTCTGGGCTAATTCGACTTGCGATGCATTCGAGCCATGTTCGGAATCCACAGTAGTAAAAGTTGAAATCCGCTTTTTAAAAAATACAAAATTCTTACACTAGCTTCCCTATATTATTGGAGGTTTGTAAAAAAATATCCTTACTTATTTGCAAATATATCAGACAGTGTAATAATCGCCCCGGCAAGGATAGATTTTGTGTCCAACCAGCAAAAACAGCCCTGTTGCATAAAAGTGTGATATGTACGGCGCCGTTGATATACAAAAAAAATCCCAAATCCTGGAAATCGACGAATTTAAGACAAAATTTAAAACATTATTAACTAAACATGGTTATTATAGACTACAAGATTGTATTTAACTAGCTGAGACCCGCGGTGTTACCCGCGTTTGTTGTTATAACCGTGGGCAACGCCGCGGGGCGAAGCTAGTCTAAAAAAAAAACATAAGTTACTCCTTATGTCATCAGCTATCTGCCAGTGAAAGTCCCGTCGAAATCGGTCCACCCGTTCCAGAGATTACCCGGAACAAACAGACAGACAGACAAAAATTGTAAAAAATGTTATTTTGGCATATGTACCGTGTAAACATACTGCATTTAGTAAAAAGCGGTTATTTTAATATTACAAACAGACACTCCAATTTTATTTATTTGTATAGATGTATCATGATATTTATAATAGCTAAGTAACAAATGATTTTAACTGTTTTTTTTTCGCTTTTTTTATGTTGAAGGATTATTGAATGCAGTAAATACACAATAATATATACCTACCCTGTGGTGACGGTATAAGAATTCGGAGTGTCACTCTCCTTAGAAAGGAGGTTTTGGACTACTATACCACGCTGGCCAGACGGGTTGGTAAAGGGTTTGTGTCAAGTTTTCCTTCAATCTGCAGTGCTGTGTTTCTGCGTAGTTTGCTCCCTTAGTCGGCTCTTACGACACCCACGGGATGAATAGGGGTGATGACACTCTGTATTCTTAATCACACGGACTTTTTTATATTTGAATTTTATATTTGTACACCGGTAACGATCAAACATGTTAATAAGGCTATATTATAATAATAATAATATTCTACCACATTCACACAACACCACCTAGTCCCAAACTAAGCAGAGCTTGTACTATGGCTACTAGACAACTGATATAAATACATACATACTTTTTCTGTAAATACATACCTATTATATATAGAAACACCCAGACCAAATCAAACATTAAATGTTCATGCACACAAATGTTTGACTTCAGCGGGAATCGAACCCGCGACCTTTGAAATAACAGTCCGTTACACAAACCACTACGCCATCCGGTCGTCGTATTATTTAACATCTTTAATGTACACATGTTTATGTAAATAAAATACCTTGTATGTGATTTATCTTAATCTGCGGTTTTTTCAATGATCTCCTTGGAAAAGCCTTTTTATTACGTCAACCGTTTATACGTTGTTGATCATCAGATATAATTGTTTTTAAAGACAACTTCCGCACTATCATCATCAACAGCCTTTAATAGTCCACTGCTGGACATAGGCCTCCCTTTAGGAAGGAGGTTTTGGCCTACTATACCACGCTGGCCAGACGGGTTGGTATAGGGTTTGTTTCAAGTTTTCCTTCCCTCTGCAGTGTTGTTGTCCTGCGTAGTTTTCTTCCTTAGTGGTCTCTTACGACACCCATGGGATGAATAGGTGTGGTGACACTCTATATTCTTAATCCGTCACCACACGGACACGCACTACTGCTTTATCATTAATTATATTTTATATTATAACGTTAATGTATCGGACAAAAAGAACACCCAGACTCAGAACAACAATTTGTGGGTCACAGAAATTGTTGTCCCATGTGGGGATCGAACCCACAACACTTAGCGCATCCGTGCAGTGTTGTGCAGTTCGTGCAGTGTATTGTCAACGACACCACTGATTCCACACCACTGGGGTATCGTTTACAATTTTTTTTTGATGACAACACCACCGCTCGTAATGAAGTTCTAACACAGAACTTATGTATTTATTGATAATCAATTATTTTTCATTTCTGAGAATCACGACCACGACCATTTTAGAGAGATCTTTCCAAAAGTTGCTTTAAAGATAGCAAATGCACTGAAACACAAAGACACGGTGAAATAAACTGAAAATTTATCGGATCAAGTATTATTATTATTATCAAGTATTATATATTACTTTAAATATCAAGTATTATTATTAAGCAGTGTTTTGTAGTAATTTATATAAGTCATATAAATATGTGGTGCAATTGACTGCACGGATGGCGTAGTGGTTTAAGCGGTCGCCACGCCTCTTCCTACTACGCCGAGTGTTGTGGGTTCAAACCCCACATGGGACGACACTTTGTGTGATCCACAAATTGTTGTTCTGATTCTGGGTGTTCTTTGTGTCCGTTTCATGTATGTTTGTAAAGTCCCCCGCGACACAGGATTTATTCCTAATGCGGGAGTTGTCTTTAAAAAAAAAAAAAAAAAATATTATGTTTAACGAATTCCTTGTAAACTAGACCAATTTCATTATTAGCATTAATAAAAGCGGCTATGGACCCCGTTCGAAACGTAGTTACTTTCGCTTCTTTGTAGACGTTTGTTATAGTGTCGGCAAAAAGTCTTGTTACACATTTTTGGGTCTCGCTCCTATGCGCTCAGAGCGTTGTACCACGATAAGGAAAAAACGTTCCAAAAAATAACACATACCGAATTGTTTTCATCGTCATCATCAACAGCCTTTAATAGTCCACTGCTGGACATAGGCCTCTCCTTAGAAAGAAGGTTTTGGCCTACTATACTATACCAAATTGTTTTATTTCACGATAAAAACATCACTAATCAGCAGTGGTGGCGTTAACCAGATTACCAAAATTGGCCAAAACCTCATTTCTAAGGAGAGGCCTATGTCCAGCAGTAGACTGTTATAGGCTGTTGATGATGATGATGATGATTATATAATAGGGTTTGTGTCAAGTTTTCCTTCTCTTTGCATTGTGGCCTGGCTTCGATCCCCACATGTGACAACACTTTGTGTCATCCACAAATAGTTTATCCGAGTCTGGGTGTTCTTTGTGTCCGTTTCATGTATGTTTGTAAAGTTCCCCGCGACACAGGATTTATTCCTAATACTGCAGTTGTGTTAAAAACAATTATATTGAACTGTTTAATATGTACCACGTCAGCTATCTAGGTGAATCACCTATGTCCCATCAATTTAAATAATTACTAGTAATTTTCACATTACACACCACGTTTCTTAAACGACAATCTATACTAATATTATAAAGCTGAAGAGTTTGTTTGTTTGTTTGTTTGTTTGAACGCGCTAATCTCAGGAACTACTGGTCCGATTTGAAAAATTCTTTCAGTGTTAGATAGCCCATTTATCAAGGAAGGCTATAGGCTATATATCATCACGCTAAGAGCAATAGGAGCGGAGCACCAATGAAGAATGTTGCAAAAACGGGGAAAATTAAATCCTTTTAAAAGACGCAGACGAAGTTGCGCGAGTCAGCTAGTATTATATACACGTGGAGTGTTATAATTTACCGTAAATAGTTTAATAAGAAACATCTGTACGGATACTAATATTTCAAAACGAAAGAGGTTGTTTGTTTAAAAGCGCTAAACTCAAAAACTACTGGTTCGAATTGAGAAATTCTTTTATTATAATATTATCTGAAATAAGGAGTAACTTAGGCCTTTCAGAAAATCCTTTCAATTTTGCACGGTCTAGGAATCGAACCCGAGGCCTAATGGACTGCAGTCGCGTACCGTACACGTACAGTACACCGCTAAGGCAATGCTTTTCAAATTCGGAAGTTGCGGGTGCCAGCTAGTATGAAAAAGAAGTTTTTTTTAATCTGTTTTTTACAAGTCAAATTGCAATGATTCCTTTTGTTTTGAATAGGTACCTTAGTGTCAAATTCCCCCCTACATCTGATTCTGGGGGGAAGACTTTAAGACTTTGAGTTGCAGGTGTCCAAGAGTGGCGTATACCCCCTATACCATAAAAAAGAGCATTTAACCAGCCTGTTGCATAACTCTCCCTCGCACTCCTGGATTCAGGACTTGGACGAGTTTCAAACACACTTAAATATCTTCTATACATCGATCATCATCAACAGTCCACAAGACCACAACAACAGTCCCCTAACAGTCCACAGCTGGACATAGGCCTCTCCTTATAATGGAAGTTTTGGCCTACTATCTTCTATACAAATAAATAAAATAAAAATAGAAAAATAGGTTTTTTTTCACGCTTTCACGGTTAATAGCACGACACACATGCCCATAAACCACCTTGAAAAAAAAAATCTGTTTGCCCGTGTGTCTGTTTATTCTGGGTAATCTTCAAAATGGCTGGACTGATTTTAATAAGTAGTAAGATTACTACCAGGTAGCTGTCTATATCAGGAGTAACTTAGGCTTTTTTCTCTTACAAAAACCCTGTTAAATAACGCCCGGTCCCGGGCATTGAACCAGCCAAGGCAGCCGCTTTTCAAATTCCACGTAATTAATAAATGGTGATTTAGGTGATAAATTCTTCGATTAAAACACATGACTGTGGGAGTTTCCATACACCAAGAAAAAAACCGCAACAAAATAATTAACGTATATATATTTTATTCCAAGAATGGTTAAATGGACTTTGACTAGAATAGACTACAAATGCTGTCTGACAATTTATTATCTATACTAATATTATAAAGCTGAAGAGTTTGTTTGTTTGTTTGTTTGTTTGAACGCGCTAATCTCAGGAACTACTGGTCCGATTTGAAAAATTCTTTCAGTATTAGATAGCCCATTTATCGAGGAAGGCTATAGGCTATATATCATCACGCTAAGACCAATAAGAGCGGAGCACCAATGAAGAATGTTTCAAAAAGGGAGAAAATTTATTACTATTGAGAGACGCAGACGAAGTTGCGCGGGTCAGCTAGTAATAGATAGAATAACAAGATAATAATATGTCGGTCTTGAGATATGGCCTTATTTTCTGGGCTAATTCGACTTGCGATGCATTCGAGCCATGTTAGGAATCCACAGTAGTAAAAGTTGAAATCCGCTTTTTAAAAAATACAATATTCTTACACTAGCTTCCCTATATATATTGGAGGTTTGTAAAAAAATATCCTTACCTATTTGCAAATATATCAGACAGTGTAATAATCGTCCCGGCAATGATAGATTTTGTGTCCAACCAGCAAAAACAGCCCTGTTGCATAAAAGTGTGATATGTACGGCGCCGTTGATATACAAAAAAAATCCCAAATCCGTCGTCTTAAATTCGTCGATTTCCAAATCGACGAATTTAAGACAAAATTTAAAACATTATTAACTGAAAATGGTTATTATAGACTACAAGATTTATATTTAACTAGCTGAGACCCGCGGTGTTACCCGCGTTTGTTGTTATAACCGCGGGCAACGCCGCGGGGCGAAGCTAGTCTAAAAAAAAAACCTAAGTTACTCCTTATGTCATCAGCTATCTGCCAGTGAAAGTCCCGTCGAAATCAGTCCAGCCGTTCCAGAGATTACCCGGAACAAAAAGACAGACAGACAAAAATTGTAAAAAATGTTATTTTGGCATATGTACCGTGTAAACATACGAGTACATATGCATTTAGTAAAAAGCGGTTATTTTAATATTACAAACAGACACTCCAATTTTATTTATCTGTATAGATGTATCATGATATTATAATTACTAAGTTACAAATGATTATAACTGGCTTTTTTTTCGCTTTTTTTATGTTGAAGGATTATTGAATGCAGTAAATACACAATAATATATGGTGACGGTATAAGAATTCGGAGTGTCACTCTCCTTAGAAAGGAGGTTTTGGTTACTGTACCACCCTGGCCAGACGGGTTCGTATAGGGTTTGTGTCAAGTTTTCCTTCTCTCTGCAGTGCTGTGTTTCCGCGTAGTTTGCTTTAGTCGGCTCTTACGACACCCACGGGATGAATAGAGGTGGTGAACACCCCGTTGACACTCTGTATTCTTAATCCGTCACCACACGGACTTTTTTATATTTGAATTTTTACGAAAATTTGTACACCGATAACGGTCAAACATGTTAATCAGGCTAAATTATAATAATAATATTGTACCACATTCACACAACACCACCTAGTCCCAAACTAAGCAGAGCTTGTACTATGGCTACTAGACACATGATATAAATACATACATACTTTTTCTGTAAATACATACTTATTATATATAGAAACACCCAGACCAAACTAAACATTAAATGTTCATGCACACAAATATTTGACTTCAGCAGGAATCGAACCCGCGACCTTTGAAATAGCAGTCCGTTACACAAACCACTACGCCATCCAGTCGTCGTATTATTTAACATCTTTAATGTACACATGTTTATGTAAATAAAATATCTTGTATGTGATTTATCTTAATCTGCGGTTTTTTCAATGATCTCCTTGGAAAAGCCTTTTTATTACGTCAACCGTTTATATGTTGTTGATCATCAGATATAATTGTTTTTAAAGACAACTTCCGCACTATCATCATCAACAGCCTTTAATAGTCCACTACTGGACATAGGCCTCTCCTTAGGAAGGAGGTTTTTGGCCTACTATACCACGCTGGCCAGACGGGTTGGTATAGGGTTTGTTTCAAGTTTTCCTTCCCTCTGCAGTGTTGTTGTCCTGCGTAGTTTTCTTCCTTAGTGGTCTCTTACGACACCCATGGGATGAATAGGTGTGGTGACACTCTATATTCTTAATCCGTCACCACACGGACACGCACTACTGCTTTATCATTAATTATATTTTATATTATAACGTTAATGTATCGGACAAAAAGAACACCCAGACTCAGAACAACAATTTGTGGGTCACAGAAATTGTTGTCCCATGTGGGGATCGAACCCACAACACTTAGCGCATCCGTGCAGTGTTGTGCAGTTCGTGCAGTGTATTGTCAACGACACCACTGATTCACACCACTGGGGTATCGTTTACAATTTTTTTTGATGACAACACCACCGCTCGTAATGAAGTTCTAACACAGAACTTATGTATTTATTGATATCAATTAATTTTGATTTGTAAAATCACGACCCATGTGGGGATTGAACCCACAACACTCAGCGCAGTAGGAAACGGCGAGGCGACCGCTTATTCCACTACGGCATCCGTGCAGTCATATATCTGCACTATGTTACGTAGCGCTATCTTGACTTAAGCTCAGCATGGCTACTATGGGCTCTAGAATACGCAGAATGATGTACGCAGGACCACAGTACTGCATATAGCGGTATAGTAGGCCAACACCTCCTTCCTAAGGAGAGGCCTATGTCCAGCAGTGGACTATTTAATGGTTGTTTTTTTTGTACTTGCAAAAAACAACAACGCACTAGGAATATAACCTGTGTCGCGGGGGACTTTACAAACATACATTAAACGGACACAAAGAACACTCAAACTTAGAACAACAATTTTTGGGTCATACAAAGTGTTGTCCTATGCGGGGATTGGACCTACAACACTCATGTATGTACATAATTGGTGAAGTTTTTTCCAAAATATTAATACAAACAATTTGTTTCAGGTCGTCTAGCTGTCATACTCTTCAGTATTTGCACCGTGGTATTGGGAATAATTCTCTCATTCGTACCCTGGCTTGATTATATTATTTTCAGAGTAAGTATAATAGAATATATTAATATATTATTCATCTAGGTTACCAGGTAACGGTAAACATTAAAAACTGCATTTTAAACATTAACTTAACTTTTATATTTAATATACCTATAGTTAAACCGCCGTAAGCTTGGCCCTCCTGATGCTTTGCTGGACGCGGGGCGGGTGATGCGCTCGGCTATACATGACACGATGTACTAACTCGATATCTTCAGATTTATTTGTTTGAGATTTAATCTACACACGATGTAATAAAAATCGAATTTATTTCCATGTATTTTAATGTCAGTGTATTTTAAGTTCTTATGATTAATTGTAAAATTTAATACTGTAAAATAATTTTAATAAAATCACCTTAACTTCATCATGTAAATTATATTCAGATACAATTTAAAAATAAAGTAAAATAATAAATATTCTTTATTAGAACTTTAACAGTAGAACCTCTGTAAGCCGAACTTCAAGTTTTTAAATCTTTTTGTGACGCAGAGTCGGCAGATTATCCATGTTGCAAAATAATACCGTGTGTAGCAGTCTTAAGAAAAATAACACGTACAGCCATGCTTTCACGTCAGTCACTGCCGGCGGACAGCGACGCACTAGCTAATTGGTTGAATGCATCCCCGCCCCGCGTCCCTCAAACCATCAGGAGGGCCAAGCTTACGGCGGTTTAACTATAGTATACCTTTAGTATACCAAAACCTCCTTTCTAAGGAGATGTCTACGTCCAGCAGTGGACTATTAAAGACTGTTGATGTGATGTGATGTGAGTATGCAATATGCATTTAATACGTACAATTAAAGTCGGATCATATAACCCACCCCGCGTCGCTCCCGGTGCAAAGGTGCCCATGATACTGGCAGCATTGCCTCGCTGAATTGCAACAGACATCCTTTGCACCAGAAACGAGCCGGTGATTCCCGATCACCACTTGACTGCACGGATGGCGTAGTGGTTTAAGCGGTTACCTCGCCGCTTCCTACTACGCCGAGTGTTGTGGGTTCAAACCCCACATGGGGCGACACTTTGTGTGATCCACAAATTGTTGTTCTGAGTCTGGGTGTTCTTTGTGTCCGTTTCATGTATGTTTGTAAAGTCCCCCGCGACACAGGAATGTATACCTAATGCGGGAGTTGTCTTTTAAAAAAGAAAAAAAAAAGAAAAAAAAAAAAAAAAGAAACTTTTATCCCTAACTCGGAGACCAATCATATATTAACTTAGCTTTTATTAACTTAACTTGTGACTATGTAAGCAAATGTTGAAAACCTATTTTTACCTACTTGTAATTGTCGTATCGGAATGTAACTTGTATGTGCAAGGGGGTTGCATGCTATTTGTATGGCTCGTACCATGATTGCCGCCATGGTACGAACTCTCGCTCCGTACCATGGCGGCAATCATGTTACCGAGCAAGAGAATTTCCACTCCGATGGCCGCCACGAGGCATCGCCTCTGCTTCTCCCACGCCGGGCATTCAGCCAGCGTGTGGAGCGCTGTGTCCACTGTCCGGCCATCGCAGTGGTGGCACTCAGGCGTTCGGCTCCTTGCGGATCTGACACAGGTGATCTCCGAAGCATCCTTTCCCGTCCCGCGTCAACCGGTATGAGAGAGTGCCGTGATGCCTCTCGAGCCAATCCTCCATGACGGGTCTTACTGCCGCGATAACGGCGTGCCCAGGTCCTTGAGAGTCAAGTTAAATTAGTTTATCATCAAAAAATAGACATATTATTAATTACTAAACAAAGAGTGAATGTTCGTTGTGCGATGCAGGATTACTACTTGAGCGTAAGATAGATGGCGCTGAAATATTTTTTTGCTGCATGTGGGTGTTAATACAAACGTAATAGGGAAGGGGAATACAAACTTGGTACATAGAATATAAACATGGTACATACAAACTTGGTACATAGCTACATTAAAAGGAAAGGGAATACAGTGGAAGGGAAAGTAAATTACTGACATGGATGTTAGGCTATAGGAAAACTTGAGCAAATCAAGACCACATTGCTTAGAAATCCAGGCCCTCTAACTCGGTTTTTGTTTCAGGAATTAAAGCTGTGGAATGGGTCTTTGAGCTACAGCTACTGGCACAAACCTGGAGTGATCAGGTTAACCAAGGTATACATATTCAATGTGACGAATCCTCAGGCGTTCTTGGAACAAGGGGAGAAACCGAAGCTGGTAGAAGTTGGACCTTTTGTATATAGGTATGTGTCTTTTCTTCTCTTTTTAACATTATAGTAAAATGTAAATTTAGGTGAGAATGCTGGAAGAAATCAACGAGCATTATAATTGCAAAAACAGTCCGTGTGGTGACGGATTAAGAATACGCACTATCACCACCCCTATTCCTCCCATGGGTGTCGTAAGAGCCGACAAGGGAGCAAACTACGCAGGACAACAGCACTGCAAAGAAAAGGAAAACTTGAAACAAACCCTATACCAACCCGTCTGGCTAGCTTGGTATAGTAGGACAAAATCACCTTTCTAAGAAGAGAAATATGTCCAGCAATGGATTACTAAAGGCTGATGATGATAGAACTAAAGATAAATAGAAAAGCGAATGTATTTAACCGTTGAAGAGTCATGCATCACAGAGAACCGGTGTTAATCAATTCTCTTGTTGTTTTTCACTGAGTGAGTGGGGTAACTGTAGTCCAAACCTGTCTTTCCGTGATTTTGGGGACATCAGGTGATCCGTCTGCTCCTTTTTTATTTAGGAATATATCCTGTGTCGCGGGGATCTTTACAAACATACATAAAACGGACACAAAGAACACTCAGACCTTTTTTTTTTTTTTTTTTTTTTTTTTTTTTTTCACGCGGGGAATGCTTTTCGCACCATACCCTCCGTTGGGGAAACGCAGGGCGTGTGTGGGGCTCCCGGAAAACCGGTCTACCCACTAAACCCCGCGGCGGCCTACCTCGGCAGTACCTCATGTCTGAGGCACATCCCGGAGTGACCGTAGTCACCCTGGGCCAGGACGCTATCGCGCCTCTCACTGCTCTACAGAGTAAAAGGCGCAACGGCGTCCCGCCTTAGACGACACCCCCCCGGCCTCACCGGAGTGTCATCCGTCTCGGGTCGTTTACAGCGGTCACATCGCCCCAAGATGTGGCCGCAGCGACCCTTAGGCGGCGATTGGGGAGTTAGCGACCTCTGCCGCGTCCCCTTCGCCGCCTCCTTCGAGCGGGATCGGCCCTCTCCCGATCCCGCTCTGCGGCCTCCTTTTGGAGCATAACGTCCTCGCAGAAGGAGACCGCGGCTGCCCATCCCTCGCCACTCGCCAGCAGTGCCGCGATTAATGCTGGCGGTGACAGGTAGAACACTCAGACCTATAACAACAATTTATGGATCACACAAAGTGTCGCCCCATGTGGGGATCGGACCCACAACACGGCGTAGTAGTGAGCGGCGTGGCGACCGCTTAAACCACTACGACATCCGTGCAGTCAAAACTTCCAATCTTTACCCTTCTATGCCATATTTTTTTTATTGAATTACTTCTAATTATCAAATTCATTAATGGACAATCTTTTGCGAGAAACTTCGTCCGCGTGTATGTCGGTTGTCGAGGTAAAAATCGCCTATGTAGCTTTTCATCGGTGAAAGAATTTTTAAAATCGGTTTAGTGGTTTAGGCGTGACATCGTAACAAACAAACATACTCACTTTAACATTTATAAGCAAAGATATGGATAAAGATATTAATTGACTGACATTGACTTGACATTTTATTTATTGTAAAAACAGTTGTGTAATTAAAATGTGCGCATGCGCTAATTCCTAGTTTTTCCATTGAATGCTATGATATTGTTTATGTTTTATGAAATATTTTAAACACAATCACACCAATATTTAAACTTGAAAAGTTTGTTTTATTGAACACACTAATCTCAGGAACTACTGGTTCAAATTGAAAAGTTCTTTTAGTCTTGGATAGTCCATTTCTCGAGAGAGGCTATAGGCTACAATACTATAGCCGAGTATTATTGAAAAATGTAAAAAAAAACTGGGCAATTTTATTCATTTTCAGAGGCAAAGATCGTGTCACCTATTTGTTTCTCAAATAAAATACCATTAAAAATAATATACCCTGAACAAATTGGTGATGTTCTGAAGAAAAAGTAGGTAAGAAGTACATAAAATTAACTAGCTTAATGATAATTGAAGAAGATCTGGCGGTATGATCCCAAGCTGGCAGAGCCTTTACTATGGTAACCAGACAGTAGGGTGGTATAAGATTGCGCGGGCAATAAAATTGCGCACACGTCATAGCAGTACAACGGAGTCGAAGCCAACTTCAATTGTGTTTTATTAGCGGTGGCAACAGGACCGCATGTGCTTCCAGAAAAAAAATCGTATATGAGTGGAAAACAAAAGAGATCTAATTTTTTTATGAAATGAATGCATTACCGTATCAAAACTCTTACTAATTTTAGTAATTTGTTATTATTTTGTCACAACAGTATCACTTATGTTTCGACCTCACAGGAAGTAATTCTAAAATTGTCTAAGAGGTGGCAGTAATGTCGCGATGTTTAAACTACGCAATTTGGGAGCACGTGAAATTCACGCACGCACGCAAAATCTAGACAAAACAGTTCAGTTCTATTTGGAATCACAAAAAATCTGAAGTGATTAAAAGTTCGCCATATACCACCATCACCCAAATCTGAACCAAAGCCAAAATATATGTAAAAAGAAAGTAAACCAAAGGCTAATAATGAAAAGAAGATTTGTTGGTATGGCAGGTGGAGGAAGGATTTATAAGGAGCCAATAGTAGAAGACTGGAGTCTGGAGACTGGAGGACTGGAATACATGGAGTGGTGGCATGAAAACTGTTCAGACTAAAATGGCTCCGGCGCTTTTATTTGTGATGTGTGCAAATAATATAGTTGAGCAATCTTATCGATCTCAAAGCGCAATTTTACACACTAGTGTGTACAACGTCCGTGCAATGTGGTGATGGACTAAGAATACGGAATGCAACCACCCCTATTCATCCCGTGGGTGTCGTAAGAGTCGACTAAGGGAGCAAATCAAGGACGACGGCACCGTTAATATAAGGAAAACTTGAAACAAACCCTATACCAACTCGTTTCGCCAGCGTGGTATAGTAGGCCAAAAACGCCTTTCTAAGGAGAGGCCTATGTCCAGCAGTGGATTAGTAAAGGCTGTTGATGATGATGAGGATGTACAAAATTGTGGAATTCCCGATTTGTGATTTTGCCTTAATTGCTTAGAAGATTATGTTTTTTGTTACCATTTGTATAATGATTTGTTGCCATATTATGTAATAAGGTAAAAAAACCAAATGATTAATCTCAGATGAGGTTAATATTTTTCATTTTATGACCTATTGACTGACTTTTACTACTCTATCCTACTTTTTTACAAAACAAATTTGAAACAAATTTCATTCAGACACAGAAACATTAATCTTGACAATTACACAAAATTTAGTCCCTGTGGCGACGGATTAAGAATACGGAATGTCAACACCCCTATTCATCCTGTGGGTGTCGTAAGAGCCGACTGAGGGAGCAACTTACGCAGGACAACAGCACTGCAAGGAGAAGGAAAACTTGAAACAAACCCTTTACCAACCCATCTGGCCAGTGTAGTATAGTAGGCCAAAACCTCCATTCTAAGGAGAGGCCTACGTCCAGCAGTGGACTGTTATAGGCTGTTGATGTGGGAGCGCACCCATGATCTTTGGCTCATTAGTAAGGATTCCAGCAGACCAACAAGTCTAATCAGTCAAGCATAGTCAGTTTTCTCCGTGTTTCTTCGCAACAGTACCATAAACACCCACTCTACTCAAGAGTCAGTCCCTCCCCTCAGAATCAGGAAGAGTGGGAGGGTTTGGAATCTGATACCCTCAGTCACTTTGTAAAAAGCAACAAAGAACACTTGACATCGGTTTTCGATGCTTAAGAAGTCCAGTCCAAGTCAAGAAATCTTCCATCTTTATATATATAATTCTTCTGTGAGTGTGTATGTCACTGAACTTCTCTCAAACGACTGGACCGATTTTGATGAATTTTTTTGTGTGTGTTCAAGGGGATCTGGGAATGGTTTAGATTCACAATTTTGAATGGTAAGGGTGACCCATCCCTAATTTTTTTTTTGTTGCAATACAACGTTTGCCGGATCAGCTAGTATTTTTATAAATTTTAATCATTAATGCGTTATTTTTTTTAATGGTTTTAGCTTTGTTAGTCAATAATCATTAAATCTTTACAGTTTTTATAAAGACATCAATTTAATATAACTTGAATAGTTTATAGACGTATTAACATGATAATAATAAGTAATGTTTTTCAATACAAATGATTTAACACAATACATAAAGTTTTTACGTAAAACTGTTGATAAACTGACGCAAAACAGTGTTTGCTAAAATACTTGTTAAATGTGTGATGATGTATTTATACTGTGTGGTGAGGGATTAAGAATACGGAGTGTCACCACTCCTATTCATCCCGTGGGTTTCGTAAGAGGCGACTAAAAGAGCAAACTGTGCAGGACAACAGCACTGCTAAGAGAAGGAAAACTTGAAACAAACCCAATACCAGCCCGTCTGTCCAGCGTGGTATAGTAGGCCAAAACCTCCTTTCCAAGAAGAAGCCTATGTCCAGCAGTGGGCTTCTACAAGCTGTTGATGTGTTCACGCTTAAACCGCTGAACCGATTTCTATGAAATTTGGTACAGAGATCGTCCAAGCCCCATTAAAGGACATAGAGTAATTTTTGACGTGAAAGGGGGGGTGGAAGTTTGTATGGCGATTCAAAAACCGCTTAACTGATTTAGATGAAATTTGGTATGAAGATAGTTTGATTCTTGAGGAAAGACATAGCTTCTATAAAATAGAAATATAGCCGGGAGGTCGTGGGTGCGATTCCCACCCAGGACAAATATTGTGTGATGAGCACGGTCATTTGTTCTGTGTCTGGGTGTAATTTATCTATAATATGAATGTATTTAAAACTATATAAGTATGTTTATCAGCAGTTTGGTTACCATAGTACAGGCTCTGCCTAGTTGGAACGAAGTTCCTTATCGCGCGTTGTGAAAGGGGGCTAGACGGAAAAAATTCATACAAAAATTTGGGACGCGACACTTTTTTATTAATATAAATTGACGTCTAACTGTGGATACCATACATTAAATTTGCTTTAACGTTCGCCAACGTCCATACCA